ATGGGGAGGCATAGGTTGATGCTGGCAGCCTTCAGTTCCAACCCTGCACGTGAGGCGGGCCTGAGGTGATGGTCGTCGGAAGGCCAGGAATGGAACAGTGGCCTCCGATAGGTCCTCTCGGGGTGTCTGGGCGGCCCTCTTTAGGATCCGCACCGCCCACAAGGGAAGGGTCTATAAAAGGTGACCTAAAAATTGCCTGTTCCAATTCCCACGGGCGGGTAGCCGAGCTCGTCGTGGCAACCCTTTTTTGTTCGGTCCGACACACAGATCAATTTAAAAAATGACAATCGGCACATGGAATGTGCGTACCCTACTTGACCTAACAGACAATGAAAGGCCCCATCGACGAACTGCCATCATTGCACACACGAATTGAAGAGATATGGAATTGACATCGCAGCACTAAGTGAGACCCGTCTCTCTGAAGAGGGTTCACTTACAGAAGTAGGGAAGGCTACCTTCTTCTGGAAAGGCCTACCAGAAGGAGTACAACGTAATTATGGTGTAGCCTTTGCTGTCAAAACATCAATGCTGTCATCAATTCCACAGAGCCCGATAGGAGTACATGAACGCCTCATGAGTTGGCGTATACCATTAACAGATAGCCGGTACGCAACTCTGATTAGTGCTTATGCTCCCACACTGGATGCAGAAGAAGAATCAAAAGATCGGTTCTACTCACAGCTTCACACCTTATTTCAATCAATTCCCCATGATGACAAAATCATACTCCTAGGTGATTTTAATGCAAGAGTTGGTCGTAATCACCAGCTTTGGCAGGGGATCATGGGACGACATGGGGTTGGAAAATGCAATGATAATGGACTACGCCTGCTGACCTTTCCCAGCATAGTCTAGTTATCACTAATACTTGCTTCCAACTCCGTGATATGTTCAAGACAACTTGGATGCACCCAAGATCAAAAACATGGCATATCCTAGACTATGCTATTGTTAGGCGCAAAGACCTGCGTGATGTTGTGATTACCAGAGCCATGAGAGGGGCTGATGGATGGACTGACCATCGCCTTGTCCGAACTACCATGAAGCTCTGTATACGTCCTCCTGCACGGCGCCAACCACCGCTTTCCAGGTTAAATCAAACTCCCTAAACGACCCAGTTAAAAGAAACTCTTTTCAAGAAATTGTAGGAACACGTCTATCAGATCCCAATCAACCTGTCTTTCCTCCAACACAAGAAGGTCTGAACCAGAATTGGGACCATGTGAGCAACATACTTCTCGACTCGGCAACATCTATCCTCGGCACCACCAAGAGGAAGCATAGAGACTGGTTCGACGAGCAAGCACCAGATATTCACAACCTACTAGAAGAAAAAACAAAGCTCACCAAGCAGCTATTAACAACCCAAATGCTACAACAAGCAACCTTTGCAGAAGCTAGGTCCAAAGTTCAGCATATGACAAGATCAATGCAAAATGAGTGGTGGTTAAAATTAGCAGGGGAAATTCAAGGATTTGCTGATATAGGGAACCAGCAAGAATTCTATAGTGCCATAAAAAGAGCATATGGCCCACAGAGAACTGCAACTTGCCCCATTAGAAGTGCAGACGGGTCCAAACTCATCACTGATAAAAAAGAAATACTGGACCGCTGGGCCGAGCACTACCAACACCTTCTAAACAGAAGCAACCCCTCTGACCCCACTGTCTTTGAAAATCTTCCTGAATTTCCCACAATTCCAGAATTGGATAACATGCCACACGCCAAGAAGTGCATATGGCAATAATCAGCCTAAAAAACAACAAGGCTGCTGGTCCTGATGGCATACCTGCTGAAATCCTGAAGCATGGAGGAAATGCCATCCTAGACTCTCTGCATGACATCTTCCAGAAAGTCTGGGCCTCCAGTTGCTGTCCACAAAAATGGAAAGATGCAGACATCGTGAGCATCTTCAAAAAGAAAGGAGACAGGGCTGTGTGGAAATAGCAGAGGCATCTCCCTTCTTGCGACCTCGGGTAAGGTGCTTACCAGGATACTCCTCTCCAGGCTTCTTGCCCATATCACTGAGGGAGTCCTGCCGGAATCGCAGAGTGGCTTCAGAAAAGAACGAAGCACTGTAGACATGGTGTTTATTGCTAGGCAACTCAGGAAAGGCCATTGAACAACAGCAAGATCTCTACATGGTCTTCGTTGACCTAGCCAAAGCATTCGACACTGTCAACAGAACTCTGCTCTGGGAAATACTAAGAAAATTTGGCTGCCCCCCCCCACTTTCCTGGCAGTACTTAAATCATTCCATGATGGTTCAAAGGCTAGAGTGACAAGTGGTGGCTCTAAGTCAGATCCTTTCTTTGTGGGTACTGGCGTAAAACAGGGATGTGTCATTGCGCCCATCATATTCAATCTTTTTGTGGCAGCAGTCATGACAATTGCCAAGCAGAACATAAATCCTGCAGACGGTGTTCAAATATCTTACCGGCTAGATGGCAACCTGTTTAACCTACGGCGATTACAAGCTAAAATTCACGAACTGCAG